CAAGGTAACTCACTTCTAACTTAACTCTACCATATCTAGCTCATTAGGTGAGATTTGGTATGTTACTTGAGCTTTGAAGCATGTTTCATGGTAGATTGCATCTTTTATGGCTAAACTAGGGCATTTTTTAGCAGAGGTATCAGTATTGTGAGAACAATAACGATATTGTTCTTCAGACAAGAGAAAAATATTCAAAGTTTAGAGAGGAAGTATCTATACTCATGCAAGGAGTATAGATATTGCACGGCCAGTTTCAATACCCACAGGGTGGTATTGATACTGGGAACACAAATTAGATTCATGTAGCCATTTTTGTATAGGCACTCAAGGGAGTATCGATACCCAGGGTAGAGTATTGATACTCTCAGTAGGAGTATTGATACTAAGCTATTTTTCAAAACATCGAACCTAATTTTGGTATCGATACTCAATCTAATATTAATACCCCAATACCAGAGTAGCGATACTCATCCAAAAGTATCGATACTAACTTGTCTAATTATACCATATCAATAAACAAGTATTGATAAACATGTGAGTATTGATACTCAGAGTTCAATATCGATACTGAAGGCTCAATATTGGTAGCCACAGACAGTTTTGGATAAGCAATCCAATGGTTAAGGGATTAGACTCGAAGGGCCCAATTACACTTGAATAACAGTAGATAAAACTAAAAGTGAGAACAATAATTAGTATCAGAACAATAGAAACAGTAACAACTAGGATTATATAAAACTAGCCTTGTATGATACTTCAGAAACAGTCAGGACACCCGAGTCTCTTTAGCAGAATATGACAGTCAATGGATATCTAAGTCAGTATCAAGGCACTTCAATAGCTGATTGGGCGCAGATGCCCCAAGACTTAACGGAGTAAGTTGGCTAGCTGTATTCTTCCAATATAGATTTTGGATCTCACCCCAGTATACCCGACGATATACAGACAGGCTAGAGGGGTGCATGAGTTTTGAGATGCAAAAACCTCAGCCGCACCATGATTCCAGCCACAACTAGTAGATCATTATTTTGCATGTTTCAGACCTATGCCACTAACCAGTTCATTTAGTGAATACATCTAGTATAGTATAGTTATTAGTAAGGTATTGAGCTCGCAAGCTTAGCGTTCAGAATGTGTTTTCGTGCGCAGGTTCTTACGAGGCCATTCGTGGGGAGTTTTCGCCACCAGTCATTCCAGTGCATCAGATCAGCAGAGATTTTAAGAGTACTTCTTGAGTCGTTTTTAGAGGGCATTCACTATTTATGAACCTTTATGTGTATTCAGTCTTAACTTTGATTTGTATTCAGTATTTGTATTATTTTGGATATACTTTTAAGAGCTCTCAATATTTTGTAAACTCATATTATTATCATGTTTTTTATTTATTATGGATGATATTAACAAGTGGTTTTCAAATCAGTTTTAAAGGAAAATAATTTTGGGTTACTATTTCGGTAGTCCCGTGTAACATTGTAATCCATGGATCTCCAGGTCGGACTGGATTATGGTGTTAGAAATAATCATACCTAAAATAGAATTTTACAGCAAGTCAACAACTAGCACAACCAAATGAAATATGTGTCTTAACTTCTAGAGCAACCGACATCAATTGATATACGAAAATTGAAAGAAGAAGCAGTCAATAGCAGCCAACAACAACAAACAACAATGGGAGAAATATAAGTGAATGAGTTAGAACTTTTACAAAAAAAAATTATAAAGAAAGTGTAAAATTAAAGAAAGAGTATTCTAAATTATAAAATGTATAATGAAAATTAAAAAGAAGATTTAAATACTACCTTGTAGAGAATAGAGAGATGCAGAAATCCAAAAACCCTTGTTGCTCGTGTGTTTGGTTCTGAATAGACGGAGGAGAAAATTTGGAAATTTTTTAAACCCTGAATATATAATATATAGGGTGGTATTTTTGTAATTATCTCAGATCGAGACAGATGTACCGTTAACCCGACTCTGATCCGACTCTGAATTATCTTCTCTCAAAATCCGGTCCGACGCGATCCAAACTCAATCTATTAAAAATCCAACGTTATAGGGTCAGATCGGGTTGAAATCCGTTGGTTTCGGATCTTTTTGTCATCATTAAGTACATTTGGTTGATTGATCAAACAATTTATCTTTGTTCTTTCATATTTTCTTAGGTCGTGGATTCTAAACTTAATAGGAATACTTCCCTTCCTTTCCCTAGAATCGTTCTTTTCCTTCCTTTTAAATAGGATTAAGATTATATTTGGAATTTATAAAAAAATTACAATAGAAATTTCACAAACAACTCTAAAATAAAAGAGCATAAATTAAAAGGAAAGAAAATATATAAAAATTAAAAGGAAAACTAAAATAAAAAAAATGAAGAAGACATATATTGTATATTACAGCATAATATAATAGCCCATGAATTTAATCTCTCTTTTACTCCCCTCGTAATTGAAATATATGAAAAAATACAGAAAATAAATAAAGATTACAGCACGATGATATTTTTTAAAATAGTATTAAGGGATTATAAGATAATATTTGTTTAAAATCTTTCTTAGTTACTGATAGTTAGGAATGACAATTTAGCCTGAAATCGACGGGTTTCGATTCGGTCCAATCTGATAGGGTCAGATTTTTTTTAAAATTAGGTTAGTGTCGGATTTTTTTAAGGGAATGTGGTCGGGTCAGGTCGGGTCGAGTTATGGTAGAGGGTGAAAAAACTCCGATCCGACCCATAGATAATAATGTAATTTCCTAAAAATTATTATTATTTAATTAAGTCCTTACATTATACTGGGTCGGTCCAGATATATACCCTAGAAATTCAGTTTAAGTCAGAGTCAGGTGGAAGATATATATTTTTGGGGTCAAGTTAGATCGGGTGGAAGATATATAATTTTCGGGTTGGGTTGATCAAAAATCCGATCCACCCCGACTTGTTATCGTCCCTATTAATAATACATATTTATAAATATAACTGCTCAAACTTTTAGGGTGTATTTGGTTCACGGAATGTAATATTACCTTTGGGAATAAGATTACCGGAATGTAACATTACTCTGGGAATGTTGTATTACCCTGTTTGGTTTGGTTAGCATAAATGTAAGACTATAATATTTGGTTGGAGAAATATAAAATTATTTAGATGCATATTTTATCAAATTATCCTTGTGAGATATATTTTTAACAAGAAAAACTTTAATATTAAATTATAAATATTTTGATAAAATTTTATAAAAATATTTTAATTATTACACTATCTAAGTTTTAAAAAAATACATTTAACATATAATTAATATAATTAGTATATCAAACTTATAATTTTAAATAATTTTCGTAAGTATCATATTTGTTTATATAAAATATAATATAATATGAAAAATAATATTATGATTTCGAGTGGACAAATATATTATTGTTTAATGTATAAGATCTATTTTTAATAACTGAAAATTAAACATTATTTTAAATAATTATATTTTCACAATAATAATATTTTCATCTCATAAAATTATAAAATAATTAATATAATAAATATTAAAAATATAAAATAATTTTAACTACTCAAATTTTATTAATATTTATTAAATTAAAATATTTGTATATTATTTTATTAAATTTATAATTTTGAGTAAAACACAAAAAAATAAGAATTGAGAAGGATCCCTATGAAAAAAATTATTATTCTAGGGGTATTTGGGTCCAAAGTGGTGGAATTGTTCATTACCTAATAATTTGGAGGTAATGACATTCCTATCATTTTAACCCAAAAATTTATTACATGATAATAATCTTTTCCGTGAACCAAACATGAGAATACAATTCCGAAAAAGATCGATCTTTTCCACGAACCAAACGCACCCTTAAAGAGAATAACATTCTATTTAATTAATGATATCACTTCATATATATATATATATATATATAAGGATGACAATGGGTCAGGTTTTTGGTCAACCCGTCCCGACCCGAAAATACGTATGCTCCACCCGAACCTGACTCGACCCGACACGAAAATTTTATATCTTCCATCCGACCCGACCCGACCTAAAAAATATATACCCTCCACCTGACTCCATCAGATTCGAATTTTTAGTGTATAAATCCGCCCAACCCAAATCGTAGAGCTATTAACAAGCCGAGTCGAACTCGAGTATTACTGAGCTCAACTGGACTCGAAAACTTTGAGATGGAGCTCGACTTAACTCGAAAACTCACGAGCCTAAAATTTTCAAGCTCGACTCAAACTCGAAATCATGAACTGAAGCTCGTAAAAGGTCGAAATGGAAAAAAATCTTAAACTTAACTCTACTGAAGCCTCAAACTCAAATTCGAATCTAAAACTTAAATACATGAACACCTTATACTATATTTTTAACAAAAATTAACACATAAATGCTAATATAATTAATAATTTATTTTTTAAAAAATAAAACTTAATATATTATATTTTCGAGCTGCTCACGAACTTTTCAATTCAAGTATCAAGTAGCTTGTTTCGACTCGTTAAGAACTTGAGTCGAGCTCGAGCTCTAGTCTAGTCCATTTGAGTTGAATATTTATGAGCTTTGACCGAGTTGATCTCGAGTAGCTCGCGATCTGTCTCGTCTTATTTATAGCCCTACTAACTCGACCCGCTATAAAATAAGGAATTAATTAAAAATTAATAATTTTTTTAAGAAAATTACATTAGTATCCTCAGACCAAATTCGTCGGAGTTTTTTCACCCTCCACCTGAACCCGACCTGACCCGACTCGAACCTAATTTTTTTTTAAAAAAATCTGACCCTATCGATTCGAATTGAAACCGATCAAATTTAGGTTAAATTGCTCTCTCTCTCTCTCTCTCTCTCTCTCTCTCTCTCTCTCTCTCTCTCTCTCTCTATATATATATATATATATATATATATATATATATATTTGTAGCACGATAATGTTGAACTCATCAGCTCAAAAAGACACACGTAGTATAATAACTCCAAAATAGGGTTTTATTTTATCAATTATACTAGAGTTGAAGAAAGGCTCTTCGTTAGCAGATAGCCGCCTCTTCTCAGCCTCTAATCTCTTCAAAACATGGTAAATCTTCTTCGTTTCTATCATTATATTTGGTTTAACAGAAACTGGTTGACCTAAATTGGCTATAATATGTTTGTTTTCTCGTTTTATAGATCATACCAGAAAAGAACCGCCGTGAGATATCCAAGTACCTCTTTCAAGGTAAACAAAGAAAACCCCCATTCTCATTTCAATTCGTTTACGTAGCTGGATTCAAAATCTGCGTTATATGTACTTTTTTCAGAGGGGGTTTGCTACGCCAAGAAAGATTACAACTTGGCGAAACACCCAGAAATCGATGTTCCAAATCTTCAAGTAATAAAGCTGATGCAATCCTTTAAATCCAAGGAATATGTCCGTGAAACGTTTGCTTGGATGCATTATTACTGGTACCTTACAAATGATGGCATTGAATTCTTGAGGACTTACCTTAATCTTCCCTCTGAGATTGTTCCTGCAACTTTGAAGAAACAAACTAGGCCCGGTGGTGGTCGTCCCATGGGTCCTTCTGATAGCCGCCCACGGTAATGGTTTAGGGTTTCGTTTATTTGATTCAATACAAATGATTTTTAGGTGAATTAGAAAACTATTATTTGTATTCCGGTGTAGTACCTGAACTTTATTTTTTTAAATTATATATATCGCTTAGTTTGTGTTTATTTTGGTATCGTAGTTAAAATTTAACTGTGATATTGATGTGCCATGAGATAATGCTAGCGTAATTTTCTGATGATTTTTTTTGTTGGTTTGCTAATGTTTTTGTTCGCTATGAACCAGTGGACCACCGCGCTTTGGTGATGGTGAGAGGAGATTTGGTGACAGAGATGGGTACCGTGGAGGTCCACGAGAAGGAGGTGATTTTGGTGACAAGGGAGGGGCTCCTGCTGATTATCAGCCTTCATTCAGGGTAATGTTTCTTTGAATAATGGTGTGGAACTTTTACATCTTCATTGAACAGAAGTAATGTTTGCTTGAGATTGTTGTGCTTGCTTGTTTCTTTATCATCATTTGATTCAAATGAATTGTTGATGACGTTTAGAGTTTGTGTAAGGTTTATGTTGTTTACAGCAGTTGTTTGAGCATTGTATTGTTTGTTTGCTCTTTTTATATTTCCACGTTTTGTTGTACTTGCTTACGCATCCATTATTGATGTTCATTCATAGACATCAGTCATATGAATCAGGTCAGGGATGGACCAAAAAGGCGCTGGTGGGAGTTTTGCCCCTGAAAATGTCAAATTCTCATAATTTAAATATTTTCTGTTAATAGTACGTTTTCATCCTTCTAAAATGGTATAAGTTCGTGTCCCTAAATTCTTAAAAATCCATCTCTCCTAACATAAAATCGTGTATCCTTGAATGAGGTCATTTTCGTTGGAAACCAAAGAACTGATTTAATTTATTGTGGGCACACAGGGCCCTGGTTCAAGGCCTGCCTTTGGTCGTGGAGGTGGTGGTTATGGTGGTGCTAGCTCTGCTGGTGCGGCGAGTCTCCCTTGAGAATGAAGGTGTATTGGCACTTTTAGTTCGTTTGAATGGCTCTCTGTTTTGGATTTCTTTTTGCATTAATTTATTTGTTTCTGTTGAATATTTATAAATAATTTTGATAATTCAAGATATTACGCTCATAAATGTCCAAAATTCAAAAGAAATTTAAAGAAATGATTTGTCAACTTAAATTTGCTATACGTGAAATTTCTACTAATTTTTTTACATGCGCCAATAGACTTGGAACTTTATGATTCTCGACACATTGTACACAAGTGACAGAACTTTAGATTCAGATGTCTTTCAAAAAAATTTCATATCATTAACCCAAAAAATTCTTTTCAATACGTTCATAACATCAAAACAATCATTATAGCATAGTTGGAATTATATTCAAACTTTACAAAAAATATGGGCCCAAGGTAAGTACAAAATATATTCATTGAGTTTAAATCAAAATAAAGTTATGACTTGAATAATACAATGTCCATATAAAATACATGCCCTCTAAATATACCCGAGACATATTCTGCAAATCGTATGGTTTGGATTGTACTGATGTGATAGGCTCCTCAACGATCCCCTACTGAGTTGCGTACGGAAACAAATTTCATACACTGAGCTAGTGCCATGAAAATAACTATGCAATACTACATGTATTCATTACATGAACATGCCGATGTGCAAAGTCATAAACATGAAAAATATTCAAACAAACATAAGAAAGGTCAAGTGATGTGATCGGAGGAATTTACGTGCATCTCAGACAACATACTAGGCTATCTAGAATGTGATAGTTTCGGTATAAGAACCGAGATTTACGTGCATCGGAACTTGTAGCCCTTAGCCTATCTCGGATACTCGAGAGGTCAGGTTAAATTTTTCATGCATTGGAAGCTCAAATCCCAAACCTATTCGAGCATAAGGTACGATCCATAATTTTACGTGCATGGATGCGTACCAAGTCAGACAATATCCAGATATTTCACAATAGAGGATGATCGTCATAATACTAGAGTAACTTCGATGTCTTGGTCATTTCCCAAGCATCATACATAGGTAAATCTTTTGTCATCCTAACTTGCTTGCTTTCTATATGAGAATTTAGTTAACTTGATTGTTTTCATTTGTGTCAAATACTTAAAGCTTATAGAGACCCAAAACACCCAAGCTCGAACTCCCAAACTAAACGAACCAAATTGCAAAAAAAAATCAACGATGGTATCGATAATGTGCCTGTAGTATCGATACCAACCCCTATGTATCAATACTTCCCCTGAGTATTGATACCAAAAATAGCTTCGATGTTGTCAAAAATGCCTCAGTATCGATATTTCTATGGGGGTATCGATATTCTACCCTTGATATCGATACTCCTCAGTATCGATACTCCCATGAGTATCAGTACTCCCATGAGTATTATTAGAATCCTAAACTTGCCATCGGTATCGATACTACCCTCTGAGTATCGATTCATGACCTTGAGCATCAATACCCCTTGATGGAGTATCGATACTCCCTTTATGTTTTGCCTTGGTTTTGCCTTTCACGAAGAACGATATCAATATTGTTTTTCTAATAATGATACTGATGGATTGAAGTACTCTGTTTTGAACACGAAATTTCATCCCATACTCATCCATTCACTCCACTAAGGCTAACAAAGCTTATTGAAGTCTTATTTGAGGTCTTAGAGGTCAAAAGTACCATCTTTCATTCTTACAAACAACAAATACGAATTTACCATGGTTCACTTTAGCATGCTTTCATGAACAAAACAAACCATATATACGTATACAATGACCTACATGTGGTATGGTCAAGTTAGGATCGAGTTACCTTATTTCCAAGCTAATGAAAAACGTCCTCATCTCACCCAAGGACCAATTTCTCTTTACCTCTTGCTTTGGAACTCTCACACTGCTTTTGAACTAATTAAGACATAAGAAATGAGTTACTAACTCATTGAAATGCTTGTAACAAAGTTAAAAATGTTTCCTTACCACTCAAATCCTAAAAAACTTGCTAGAACTCAAGGTTCCTTAAACCCGCACTAAAAGTCATTTTTGGGTAACTAAGCCAAATCTTGCAAAAGTGGGTTTGAATGAAAGCTTATGATGTAGTTCTTACCTTAGAAATTACAAAATATGTTTGAATTCCTTAAAGGACGCACCTTTGCTTGGTTCTTGAAGAGGAAATGAGATGGAAGAGTGGGGAAGAAGAGATAAACAAATGAATGAAAAAGAGAAGAAGGGTGTCAAACGTGAGATCATATTTCATAGATGGGTTTCAGCTTTGATTCAAATAAATGGGTTAATTACCCACATACTCCCTCCTCAATTGATTCATGATTAAAATCATCCCTTTTCAAATCTATTTGGGTTCAAAGCTTCATATACTAAGGGGAATTTATTCTAAAGCCCATTCGAATAAAATTGAAACTCCTAATTTATATTTAGGGGTGTTACAACTCTTCCTTTCTAAAAAGAAATTTCAACCTCGAAATTTACCTAAATAGAAGAGGTATGGATACTAAAGTTGCATTTCTTCCTCAGGTTCCCATGTCGCCTCCTCTATGCCATGATTTCTCCACAAAATTTTCATTAATGGTATCTTGTTTTGTAGTTCCTTGACGTCCTTGGCAAGGACTCTAATATGTTCCTCTTCATAATTCAGGTCTTGCATTACTTTAACTTGCTTAAGGGGTATGACATAGGATGGATCAGATTCGTATCTTCAAAGCATGGATACATGGAACATGTTGTGAATGAGCTCTAATTCTGGAGGCAAAGCTAATCAATAAGTAATTGGCCCAACTCTCTCCAAAATCTCATATGGTCTAATGAATCACGGGGTCAACTTACCTTCGTACCCAAACCAAAGTACCTTCTTCCATGGGGAAACCTTTAAGAATACCTTGTATCCCATTGTGAACTCTATATCCTCGCGCTTCAATCGGCGTATGACCTTTTTCTGTCAAAAGCCTCTTTCAATTGACTTTGAATCAACTGAATTTTTTCTTCCGTTTCTTGAATCAAGTCATGACCTACGATCTTACCTTCACTGAGCTCCGTCCAACATAATAGAGTTCTACATTTAGGCCTATACAAGGCTTAATAAGGAGCCATTTGAATGCTTGCCTGAAAATTGTTGTTGTATGTGAACTCCACCAAAGGCAAGTGGTCTTCCCAGTTGCCTTTAAGATCCATAATGTTGCACCTAAGCATGTCTTCCAAAATTTAAATAATGCACTCGGATTATCCATATAATACCCCAAACTTCGGGCCAGTGACTGAAATGTAAGGATTTTAAATTTGGTGGTTTAATTTGAATAAATTGAAAAAGTTCAAGAACTGATTTTGGAAATTATTTCTAGGACTAATTATCAAAGATGGAAGAATGAAGGGCAAATAGGTCTTTTATCAAGAAATGAATTTAAAATTCATTTTAAGAGATATTTAAGCATGTGAGGATAGAGAAAGGGAAAGAATGGTCTGTAAACTTTGGATATTTTTCTTTTTCTTCCTTTTTTCCCGTGAATACCATTTCAAGGATAAGTGATTTTAAGGTTGATGGTTTCTTGTATTTTTTGTTGATTTTTATTCTTTGGGTGATATAAAAGCTTAAGGAAGCTTAAAGATAAGTAGAAACTAAGAGATTAAGGGTTTAATGGTGATTTTGTAAAATGGGTTTTTAAGAGAATTGATTGAAAGTGATTGTATTTGGATGGTTAAAGATATATTTGACTTGTCAAGGGTTTAATTAAGGGATTATAAGTATTTAAAATGATTAAGAACAAGTTTAAAGAAGTGATATGATTTTTTGTTTTAAGAGTTTTACGGAGAAATTGAGATGTTAAAGGGGTTTTAATGGATATAAGTTAGTGGTAATAAGTGTATATGAGTTTAAAAGAATGAATGGATTTAAAAGTAGGAGATTTAGGTGAAGTTGGGTAATTTTCGAAGTGAAATATGTGATTTATGGGTAAGAGTATTGGTACTGGAAGAACAATAATGATACTATAAGGGTAAAATTTAAAGAAATAATAGGAATCTGAAGAATAGTATCGATACTGATGTGGAGTTATCGATACCAAGGACAAGGTATCGATACTATAAATTAAAGATGAATTTCCAGAATACCAAAATGGTATCGATACCGAAGTGGGTATCGATACCATAGAAGAGAAGTATCGGTACTATAGGAAGAGTATCGATACTATGCAGTATGAAATGTTAAATCTAGGCGTTTTATTTCATTTAAGTAAAGGTTAATTGGTTAGATGTTAATTGAGCCTCGATATTTATCGTAATCATGTTAATGTGTAGATTTGACCGAAAGCAATTGCCAAATGAATTGATGTATAAGGATAAAGTGAAAGTGAAAAGGAGGTACTTAGGGCTTAAGTGAGACAAATATGAGTGCAACTTATTTTATATACGATTGGAGGGCGACTTGCGATAAGCCAACCTCAAATGTTTTTGAATATATGATTTGTAGTATATTATAAAACATATTTTTATATATTGATTTATTAAATGATTTTGTTATAATTTTTTGGTATGAATTACCCAAACTATTTTTATATGATAATTTGAATAATACTACATGAAATACTTTAAGTATATGGCATGTGAGTATATGTTTTATATGAATAAATGATAATTTGAATAATGCTATGTTAAATGCTATGAGTAAATGTTCTACGTAAGATGTTCTATGTGAATAAATGCTATGTGAATATGTGATAAGAGACCTTAGTTTAGGTGGAATTATTATACGCGAAATGTGATATATGGGAATAAAAGACCTCTTGAATAATAAATGTGACCTAATTATATGGAATAAGCCCAAAGTATATTTTATGAGAATTAGGGGTATAGTTGGCATGCCAAGAGTCGAGGGTTCTATGTGGTCCATCGTGACAAAACTATGTGGTCCTTCAGGACAAACCTATGTGGTCCTTCGACACAAATATGTGGTACTTCGGTGCAAATTATGTGAGCAGTGGTGACTGCATTAGTGCACAGCCTTAATGTACTCACA